ACATTACATGAGCCCAGAATACATATTTCAAAATGATTAATCCATAAGTGAGCAGTCTACATAGAAATATTTGGCCTGCAGCTAACGCCTCACAATGCTTGAATTTCTGCAGCTTCAAAGTTCAAACAACAACTTCAAATTTCTAACTTAAACTCTCAACCAAGCATTTCACGCTATATCATTAACCATACAAACAACACCAAGCAAAAGGCAGTTATGTATAGAAATAGGGATGGATTATAAGCAGTAAACAATTTACAGGAAACACAGATTTGCTCTTTCCCCAGTACATAATTCAAGACAGTACTATCGTCAATATTGTGGGATAAAAGTTGTGGCGCAACACTGTTGTTCTTCTATTAAACATAGACAACATGCATTAGTTTAAAAAAACAAAAGCAGAGGTGAACCATAGACAGCAGCTTAAACAATCTTGTTGTAGGGTGGGAGAATAAGCTAAGCTAATAGCTGGAAGAAGTGGGAGGGTTTTTGATATTTAATATATATATATATGGATAAAAATAAATTTTATATATATATATATATATATATATATATACTTAACGGGTTAACGGATTATCCGTTAAGAAAATTAAATAATTCGCCCCCAAACCGATAAGCCGTTAATAAAAAAAATTTAATCTGTTCCCCGTCCGTTAAACCGTTAACCCGATACCAATAAGCCATTAAGCTTCGGTTTCGGTTCGGTTTTCGGTTTCGGTTCGATTTTGAACATCCCTAATCATATATGTTATGTTTATTTATAGGTTCATTGTGGGCAAATTTATATGTATATGCTCAAAACAATAAAAGCAAAAAAGAAACCACAAAATAGAATTTAGACAAAAAAAAACACTTAAAATTGCATAAAATAAAATTCATCTAATTGTACATGCTTGGAGCAGCGTGGTCGAAAAATACTATTCGCTCTTTGGAGTGGCTCTTTCATACTCAAATCCGTTAGGGGAAAGGACAATTATTCAGGCTCATCAAATGTACTCTAGATTTGTGATGGCTATGAAAAAAAGTAGATTTACATTGTATATAGAAGGCCGGAAAGGCGAAGCCTTAATTTATCTGCTATAAGGAGGTGATTTATCGGCTATAAGGAGGTGAAGAGGTAAAATTTCATTTATTGGATCACTTGCTTTTAATTTGAAAAATGGGAAGAATGACAAGATTTATGGGAAGATGTATTATATTCTGACCAAGAAGAGAAAAAGGAATATGAGAGTGAAACATGATCAACAAACATGCATGTTAATGGAAAATGAAACGTCTGGGAAATAAAAACAAATAAGTAATTTTTTTTTGTAACTGATGTGAATAAAAAAAACATATCTATTTATTAAACTTTTATTGTTTATTACAATAGACACAGTGTACGACGATCCATATTGGTCATTATATATAGTCTTAAGCGATGATTAAACTAAAGATTTTGTGGTTGATTGAAATTGTTCGTCATCATGTAGCTAAAATGAAACGAATTGAATCTTTCTAAAATAAAGGAACTTTGGTGTTTGGAATTAGTAAAATAAGATCAACATTCATCACTTTCAGCAATTTACATACTTTGTGAGTCTTTTAACTGCATGAGAAAACTTAGTGTCATCAACAAGTTTAGTTCTAGAATTTAGTGATAAGAAACAGCAAGATAAAATATAGGAATTGTAAAATTTAGTTCTAGAATTTAGTGATACATGTATGAATTTACTACTGAAATTAACGTTTTATAACGTAAATAGGTTAGATACATGTATCTTAATAAATTCTCTTAGAATTCCAGGCAAAATTTAAAATTCCATGACTAACCTTGTAGCTCACATATGTTGTATACTAATATTGAAGGTATTACTTAACTTTTGAAGAATATAAAAGTCTATCAGCTTTTGATGGACATTACGATAATTTAACTTTAACTTTGTAGCTTCGTACTTATAATATAGTACTAGTCTCTATGAACGTGCGGTGCACGTTATCCCTTATAATATTATTTGTAATTATATTATATTTTTTATGAGGTATAAAATATTATTAGATTGCATCCACTTAATGCTTCTTAAGTTTAAAATGTTATTCTTGGTTAAAATTTTTTATATTTTTACCCATGTAAACATTAGGGACTGGGCTACCGTCTCTAAGTTGTATTTAGTATTTACTATCATTGCAATAAAAATTATTGGAAATTGTAACCGAACAAATTAAAAGCATATAAAATATTTTCTTATACACGTTTACTTTTGGGATAATTTTAGATATTTTTCCTCAACTCAGGTTTTACTTTATAACACTAACATCCCATATTGTTTTGAATATTATATTTATCTCCCTTATTTTAATTTATTTGAAGTAGTTCTTTCAATTTATGTATAATTATAAAAGAGTATAATTTGACTAATTTACCCTCACGATTACACTTTTATTTAGTTATATGAAGGGGGAGTTGGACTGATGAACGAAGAAGATGAAGTACACCATACTTCTAGTTCTAGAGCACTCCTATTACTTCCTTTTTATTTTTATTTAAGCAATAAAAGTTAATAGAATAAATAAAGAAAAAAAACTAATAAAATGATATTTTGATGGAATTAATTAATAATTAATAATTAATATTAAGAAAGGGTAAACTTGTCAATTCATAGTTTCTTTATATTAATGATAAATAGATTTAAGGAATAGTTAATTAAAAAAAGAAAGATACATATCAAATCGTAAGGAAATTATTCTAAAATTATTCTTTATATTTTTATTTCTATATGCATTATAATCGTAACACCAATGGAGCTTCTTTCTTTTTTTTTTCATTTCTTTACTTTCTTTTTTGCATGAGTAATTCTCATAATCAGAAATTAAGTGTAATTTCCAATTGTTCATACAGTTCAACGTTTTTCGTTTTTGGCGTTTTTTGTAATAAAAAATTAAAGCAGTTATAAAAAGTGAGATATAATATTTGAAAAATTGAGTTATTTCATCTTTAATATATATATTTATTCTAAATTATTTATTTCATCTTCTTTTGATGGCTTACTTTAGTGATATTATGGAATATTAATTTTATATTGAAACTTTATTTTTCATTATGTTAACATAAATAACGTGCATAGAGAAATTGAGCTAGGAAAGATAATTGGAGTATAGTGAAGTGTCTGAGAGAGATTGTTATAATTATCAATGAATATGATATACAATTGTATTTAGTCAGTTAGTGTTTATTTGATATAGTGTGTTTTTTCATTAAAGTAGATCTAAAGCACCTTTCGATCCAATTAGTACTAATTATTCTATTGGAATATCCCTTTTAGAATTACAAGATAATTTTATGCAAATCTTAATCCAGGTATCCATATTTGTTTATGCATGCTATATGAAGGACTTGCCAAATTCAGACCATTAAAATATTTTAAGGGTTAGAATTGAGAAAATAAATCATATAAATATTATGGCACGACAAAGATGAAAGAAAACAATATCAATTCTACAACCAGCAGAAGAAATCAAACAATTCTGATAAAAGCTTATTACATGACCATGAGAAATCTCCAACCAAGCCGAAGCATAAGTAAGCTTTACATACACCTAGAATGCAAAGTGTCTTCACAATAGATTCAACAGTACATAACCAAAGTTCTGTAAAGAATGGTAAGAACTTACGGTTTACAGTGATGAAGTGAAAGTGTAAATAGCAGAGATAACCGACATCCATATTTTTCTCCTCAACAAGATTCTCAAATCCTTTCAAAACTTGAATTTGAAGACCAAAAAGTAAAGAATAGGTAGTACATAACGTCATTAAAGTTAAAAATTTGATTGTGATTAGAATTCCATGCAATTTAATATTAGGCCGATTTTTTAATTACAGTCATATCCAATATGGAATTACAAGTCAGTTAATATTTTAGGGCTATTCTGCTCTAGAAATTTGATTGTGATTAGAATTCCGTGCAATTTAATATTATGCCGAATTTTTAAATTACAGTTATATCCAACATGGAATTAGAAGTCAATTAATATTTTAGGGCTATTCTGGTCTATCGATACTGTATTCATGCTTTTATAATAAATACTAGTCTTTATGTACATGCTTTGCATGTTTAGTCGATTAAATATGTGAATATAATCAATTTAGTTAAGTCAGACATATGTGTACCTATATTATAGAAATATGGAATGTGGTTGTATCTTATCGAGTATTTCTTCGTAGACGATATTTCGGGTGTATACTTCCTTATGACTCTTTGGTTAACTCTATCATGAACAGAACTCTTTGATATTAATAACCCTTTTAAAAGTAGAACAAATAGTTCTCCATGTAGAAAATAGTTTCCTCTGAACATCTCCTTACATCTTTTACTGTTCGTCTTAGTGTTGCTAGGTTCCCATCAATATCTATTGTATCTGTTATCCAGAATAATTCTAGGTTTGGTTGTCTTTATTTGTGAATTGTTTATATTTGTTTAGGTTTAGCTCAGAACAAAGACTAAGTCATTTTGGAGTCGAAATAAAAATCTAACACCAAATCGGAAGACACCGTAAATCACTACAAGAAATCGGGTTTTCGGTGGCGACAAATCTCGCCACTGAAACTAGAAAAGGCGCCACAAAAAGGTATTCGTGGCGATGCCGTGGCGACCCCTAGTCGTTGACTATACTAAGTGGCGGATACTTATTAGCGGCGACCATTCATCGTCGCCACAAAAAGATATATATTAGCGGCGACCTTCACCGCCACCAGATTGACCCACGAAAGTTCTTCAAAAATGGGTTGCCACGACAATGGTACGTTTAGTGGCGACCAACTCGCCACCAAAGACCTACAGTAGCAATATCAAGTCGCCACATAAAGTGTTTAATTTTTCTGAGGTTGCCACTGAAACCTATTATCTGTGGCAACTTGGGTCGCCACGGAAGTATCTTTTTTATTAAAAAAAAAATTTAATTGGCAGCTAATTTTACTACTTTACCCAACAACATATCATATTATAAGAAACACCACCAAATACAATTGAAAAAAATGACATGAACTTTTCATTACCATCTATTCTATAAAGTATACACCACTCTATAATACATTCAATTGTGCATAACACATGGAAAACAAAATCAACTGTTTATGGATTCCTCCTTGGCCAACATCCATTTTCCTTTTCGACGAACCTTTGTCCCTGCAATTTAAAGATCAAAAATGCCAATGATCATTTTGATAACCCTCATAACAGAAAGCAACTTTTTCTTTATAATATGTGAAGTACTTATCAAATCCAACTAAGGTTCATATCAACTTATATACAAGATAGACTTATGAAATGAACAACTTCAGTAACCACTACTGCTGACACCGGTAAACCTTCATCTCTACCCTAAGCACTATCCTTTTATGGCATCCTAATTAATCCAAAACTGATGGACATTAAGGTCTTGAGTACTGTATAATTTTTGTCTCAAATTTGTGACTTCTAATGAAGTTGGAAACATCTCTCAGCAAACTAGCAGAACCTCCAAATAAATCATGGCATTACATATTGTTGAAAGTTCAGAGAAAAAATCAAAGCGTTGAGCATAATGTATCGTACAACATGTAAAGCAAGGAATAATATTAAAATGGCAAAAGGATATACCTGGACAAGCAATTTAGATAACCTGGGACGAGCAGTGCTAGGCTGAATTTACGAGTGACTCCTTTTGGCCGTCTCTGAAATTTCAATCAGCAAGATAAAGTAAGAGTTGACACATCCTCGTTAATTTAGTAAAATGTGGAAGAAGAGAGTAAACATCAAGAAAGTTACAATGCCTTCTAAAAGGTTATTACTAGAATTTTACTAATTTCTTGATAACTAGATATTCATATACACACGATTTCCTATGATAGTGGCAGGAGATAAATAGGTAGAATTACAATTCCAAGTTGATGTTGCAATTTTATATTTTTTTTTAAAAGATACAAGTTTCTTAAGAGTAATTTTGCATATCACCTAAAAATGAATCTTATGTTGCAATCTTCTAAGAGTTTGAAATAAATAATGAGATTATCAAATTAACAGATTAATTATCAATCGTACAATAAATATAATGCACCACTCACATATGCAAACTGTATTAGCAACACATCAGATGAGATTTTTAAACTTGTATTTGACCATGAAGAGCCTTGCCAGATACTGCAGCTTCATGCAGTACTAACAGTGTGCCCATCTGCACTTGAGTCAAACCTTATTTAGATATTAACTATTACATACTTAAATATAAAGTGTGAAACTAGTTAGTAAACAGAATGATTATTAAAATATAGCTTCTAGTAATTGATTATCTTGCCATAAAGGAGAAACTAGTTTCTGTATCTTGTCAGATAGCTTCTGGCTTCTCCTCGCAGACACCTACAACATAAGCAAAAATTCACCCCTTTCTAGAGCTAGTAACTTAATTTGGTATTTACAGGATGTGCGCATACCATGGCATCAATTATTATAGGGAAAAAAGAGTTGCCCTTTATCTTTAAATGTCCTGGTGGTAACTAAATGCTCTTAAAAGCCCCTCTAAGTTAGAATTTGATTGTAATTTTAAGCTCTATATCACGTAATACTAAGCAATGTTTGATTTTGAGTCCAAGAAGCATGATATTAGAAGAGAAAGAATCAAAAATAGTTAAAGTAACTACACTTCAATTGTCTTTTACTATCAAGTTACCTTGGTAGCAGTGACATCTGAAGCATCCCTGTCTGATCCATACAGAATAGTACGAAGGTATTAAGGGCTCACACACCTTATACTCAATCACCATTCTCATGTTGTTAGAGATTCAACCTTAAAATATATATGCAGAGACTGATTTATTCAGTTCTCAGTCAATAGAAGCACAACTCAATTGTAGAGAAGATACTTAAGTCTATTGTACAGAGGATGTTCCACGGAATATGTATTTTTCTTTCAAAAATTAAGACTACAAGGAGATTTATTTACAATCATTTGTAAAAATACAATTACCAAACTGAAAGGCATACGACTGAGTGGACAATCAATGTGAAATTTCATGCATGTCCAAGTCTATATATATTTACCAGTAAAATCCATGATTATTTTTAACACTAAACAGATATGAGCAATTGATAAAGAATCCTTTTTATCTTTTGAAACGATAACAAACATAAAAGTGGTGCCAAGATCAGTTAACAAAGCAAGCTCTTGCAAATTCCAATTAGAGAACTTTGCTATTATATGCCCAGAAATTAAAACATGAACTGACTTAATTTACAGGATAAAGAGCCTCAAAAAAATGTATGGAGATAAAAATTAGAGTCGCTCAAACACTGAAGCAAAGAAAGCAACAAAAAAACCCAAAAAGCAAGTCAAATTGAAATAACCAACACACATCGAAAAAGTACAATCACATCCACAAGGAAATAGCACTTCTCCAAATTGCATAAATTTAAGCAATCAACTCGAAAAAATATACTTACGACTGACTATATAGCAGTCGAGCCAACAAATCTTATCCACTATCCGCCCTATTTCTGGCTAAATCACAGCCTTGTTATTGTAATTAAGGGGATGGTAGTAGCATCATGAAAGAGGTAGAGAAGACGAAAAAGATTAAAAGGAGTCGTCGGATTTGGATTAGTGATTTATAGGTCGAAGAGACGAAATCGCCGGTGGAAGTTGCTCAATTGGATGAATTTGGGGAAGGGGAATATAGGATTTTACGGGGAGGTTTGAGGGTAATGAGATTCTAGGGTTCGTTGGGGGCTGGCATGGGGTGGGGTATGGGCTTGGGAACGTTTATGGAGAGGAACTTTGGGTTTGAGTTTGACCACTTTTTCTTTTTTATTTGGTTACTTTTACTTCTTCTTTTTTTAAGTATTAAAAGTAAGAAAAACATGGGTTGAGTATGATTTCATCTGTATGTTTATTTTTATGACTATTTCAGCTTCACCTCCTACAAATTGAAGAATGTAATAATATTCTATATTCAACTATAATTTGTTGCATTTATTTTACATTATATAAATCATAATAAGTTTATTTTTTTAATAACAAACATTAAGGAGAGTAATTGCTTATTCAGACCACTTCATATTTATAATGTGAATTCTAATTAATTAGTAGTATACTTCTATTGTAGTATTTTAATAGTTGCAATGATTCTTGGATCAATAGAACTGGAAGAGGAGGATTAATCGAATATATAAGATAAACAATGCAAGAATTCTTGGAAGCTGTAATGCCTTTATTGGGTATTAAAAGGTTACTAAAAACATTATCTTTCCTCGCGAGTAAGTCGCCACAAAAACTCTTGTTATTGGAAACAAAAATTCAGTTAACATTTGTGGCGCCTTATGTAAAGTCGCCACCAAAACAATCACTTTTGTGGCAACTATTTTTTATCGCCACAGAAACTTTTGCTTTTGTAGCGAAAACCCTTACTTGTTGTGGCAACTATAAGGGTCGCCACAATACGTTGCCACTAAAAATCCTATTTCTTGTAGTGAATTTAGGAGTTTTGTGAACAAAAAAGATGTCGCATTGTATAATGTTTTCTCAAAAAACTAAAACATATATTTATATGTATTATATCAACGACCGTGGATGATTCTATATTAGACTTTTAAGCCAAAAATTATATATAAGAAAAAAATGTAAAATTTTGAACTCTACTTTATATACAACTTTGAATGTATAATAATTTCTCTACCCAAATACATGAATATATACCCGTTTCAAAAAAGCATGTTTGGACACCAAAATAAAAATCCAAAAAGAAATGTGCACGACTACAGTAATTGCATCATACGAGCCTTTAAGAGTATGAGAGAGAGAGTCGATATCCATATTTTCTCTTCAACAAGACCGACAATTGGCTTACAAATATTAAATAATTAGTTTTAATAGAATCAGTGTTCTTCTATGATTCTTATTTTTTATCCAACTCCAAATCATATGATCGTTTCAAAATTTTACTTTTATGTCCGACTAAATTTGATTGTGATTAGAATTCGGTGCGAATTAATATTGATTCAAGTTTTACGTTATAATTTTATCCAATATATAATTGTATTTTGAAGGATATAAAGGTCAATCAACTTTTTGAGAATATTTTTGTCGTTCAATATTTAGCATGGAATATTCGTGCTTTTATAATAAATATAGATATAGATGATTAATTAGGAATTGATGGAAAAAAACTGAGGACTTGACCTCAAGAGAAACGAAATATTGCGCTTGCCAAAAATACATTTAATAGATTTTATCATTGCAATAAATCATACTTAAGCTTATGGTGATTTCTTCTCGAACCAAAAGCAAACTAACTAAGCAACCTTAAGCGCGCGGGGGGGGGGGGCGCTCTAGGGTAAGGCAAGTGAAGCACTGCCTTAGGCCCCAAATAATTAAGGCCCCAAAAATAAGAAGCACTACTATATTATTATATAATATATACCCATAATTTAGATTTATATAATTATTAATAAAGATTTCAAAATTTAATAATTTTTAACATATGGTATACATAAGATTGAGTGAGTTAATTGGATAAATTTTTCTTACTAAATTAAATAATATATTTACCTTCTCATCAATTTTATTTTTCTTTTTTTATGTATAGTCTTTTTTCATGGTTCTCACGATTTTACTTTCTAATTTCAACTCAATTTCTCTAAACTAACTATTCTTTTTTGTCACATTTGATTGATCCACACACCAGAAAGCAAGTTCTTTTGTGCCTCATCTTTTTTAACTAAGAAATCCCCGAGACAAATGTCGCAAGGTTCAAAACACGATGGATAATGGGCTCATCCTTTACCCTTTTCACTTAAGGGAAGAATTCAATACCATATGACGTGCGTCTAACTTATACATCATGAGTTGCGCTCTCACCACTATATCAAAATGATGTAGATTTTTTTTTGGGTCTCAATATTATATGTCTTTTGTAAAAGACGTTTCAGGGTCTTTTTAATATATTTTAATTTTAGGCAACCAATTCTGTTGAGCCGCCCCTCATTGACGATCAACAATTATTTACTGACTACTGTCCCACTGGTGGTAGGCTATAATCTCGTATTTTAGTCGCTTATTACACTCTAATTCACTGCACTTTACTTGTATTGAGGTTTAATTGGTAGTATTTTTGCACTTATTGTGTGTTTTATACCTTGTAGGAAGAACACAATCACAAGGATTTCATCATTCCTTCCTCACTCAAGATCCGGGTTTGGATTGAATTTATGTTTTCTTATACTTTAGTTACATTTGTGAAGAACTTCTCCTTGTCTATGGAGTAGATCCAACTGAGTTTTGATGGATTTGGTGTATTGATGATTGTTTGTGGATTATAACTCTATTTTTATGTATTTGAATCGTTTTTGGGAGATTTAATTGTTGCATCTACATCCACTTGTTCTTGTAATCGAAAGAGGCATAACTTGTGATATCTTTGCATTATATTGTGGGTTGAGTTCATAGATTCTTCTAAGTAATCGAAAGAGGCTAGTTGAATCATTGATTAAACCTAGTTAGGAGAATAATCGAGAGAGGTTCTCCTAAAGACGAATCCATTACGCATTCTTTCATATCTTCACAGAGCTTAAATTAGTTCATATTGAGAGGTTGAGACTTAATCGAGAGAGGAGTTTCTACTAAACAATTGTACTGATAATTAAGTGAATTCGAGAGACCCACTTGAACATTAGAAGTGAATTATCTAGAGTTAAATCCCAGACAATTATCTTGTACCTATTTTCATGATCCAATTTTTCCTCCGTTGGGTATCGTGATGGCACCTAATCTTAGGGACTAGGTAAGCCTAACATTTACTGAGTAACAACAATAAGAAATAACATCTAATAACTTTTGAAATAAAAATCTCTATAAAATTTACAACTCCCAAAACCGGTAGTACAAGTCATAAGCTTTACAGAGTGTTTGTTAGAAAACTTCTAAATACAAATGTCTAGAAATAAGAATAAACAGTGCAAAATGAAAACTTGAAGGTGACTCCGAAGCCTATGAACGCAGCAGCAGGTTTATCTTGAGTCTCCACAGCAACGACCCGCACAGCTGCTAACGAATAAAAACCTAGATCTGCACAAAAATATACAGAAGTGTAGAATGAGCACACCACAGTGGTGCCCAGTAAGTATCGAGACTAACCTCGGTGGAGTAGTGACGAGGAACAGTCAAGACACCACTGGTCTAATAATTGAATAAGTATAAGTATATGAACAACAGAAATATGATATCTACATAAAGATTATGCAATATGGCTCATAATACAGTAATGGCAATAAGAAAGGAAACAACAAGTATCAGGGGAATACCATAAAAATAACACCGAATAGTGAATGGAACACAACCTAAATCCGGAAATCACAAATACAGCAAGGATAAGTAATAACTCAGCAACTACAACCGCTTTTACACCAGGTTTTTGTCATCAAACTCCACGAGGTACTGAACCTCGGACAACTCACAACTCACGGCACAACTCACGGGTCTCAATACCTGAACCCTAACACTTGGCATCTTGTGCCCTCATTACACTTCATAACCGCACTGACGACTCACGTGCCAATAGAATCATTCTCACATAGAAGGCAAGTAAACAAAGGTGGGCATTTATGCTCAACAATATCAAGAAAACCTCTTATCCGATAAAGAGTGCTTAACTATGTGTATGCTTGTGCAAGTGTCCTAACATAGTCCATACCAGCAAATAAGCATAAGGAAAAAGAACAGACAACAAGTAGAATATTTCCTCCCAACTTTCACAAGATAAAGCTCACACGGGTAAGTGTACCACTACACAAATATCAACAATAGAATGCCCCCAGGCCATCACAAATCAATCCATTACACAGCCCACCTTGTCTCGCCGCGTGGGTAATNTATATACTCGCCTTGTCACGCCGCATGTGCAAATATTAATAGTAACAATAGCACGGCAGAAACTACGTGCATTACAATAACAAGTACAACAGCAACAATAACAATAATACAAGGATACGATAAATACGTCAACTCAGAAATTCCAAAACTCAAGGAAACGGAGGAACTAATTCACAAGGAGTAGCCACAATAGAGAACACTAGTCATAATAAGAACAGCTCAACAAGAAAGGAAATATCATGTAACAACGGTCCACAATGTACAGTTCGACAACGAGGTAGCTAACACAAGACGAATAATTCCAAATAAGGACAAGTCAACTAAAATATAGGATATCTAACTTCTTTTAAGGTTGGGCAATTAAGAGAGAGATACAACAACTCCAATTAAGTATAAGCAGTATAAAGATAATCATTTGCCTCAATTAAGGATGAACAATTATATAAGAGATAATTATAATTTCAGATAAAGATCAGCGGTTAGGGAAAAGACAACACGATAATATAAGAGTTAACAATTTCAGTTAAGGCGCATATGAATTAAATGAACAACAAGAGTGGATCATGAAGCAATAAATTCCAATTAAAGCAGGTAGAAGTGAAACTGAAAATTTAGAAATGTAATCATATCGAGAACAACTGCATATTCAGTGAATATAAGGACCTAAGAATCCCTAAAAGGCCAATTTTTCATAAATAAGTCTGGGCACGTACTCGTCACCTCACGTACACGGATTACAATTAGCATAGAAGACTCAAATCCTAAGGGGTAGTTCCCCCACACGAAGTTAGGCAAGATACTTACCTCAAAGAAGACAGACCGAATACTCAAAAATAAATTTCTCGGGTGAGATGACCTACGGGGGGCTCAAATCTAATCAAAATAACTTTAAAGCACAAATAAAACTCATA